CGACCTGAGTATTTATGAACTCACAACAGTTATAAAGAAATTCATTTGGCCACTAGTAACCCATTTTCCAACCAAATATCTAGGTCTATACTACCCCATTATGGACAAGATAGACTTTCTTGATGACGTCAACTGGATAGACCAATTCACCCTCAGCTTAGAATTAGACTACCAAAAGGATACTATTGTTAGTTTAGGTGCCAGGACCGCGAAAGGCAAAGATCTCCCAACTTGTGAATGCCTAAACATCTGCACAAACCATCCATACCCAAACACCCCCCTAGAATCTATCAACCTCTCGAAGATCTATGTCGTAAACCTTGATGGATATCTACAACCCAAATTTTCTAATGAGACAGACAAGGTCTTAACTACCAAAATAACCTTAAGCGCTGTTGTTTTAGTATCCTATGCAACCTTTGGTCTTAATAAATCAGTAAATGTCCAGGATGTGGTTGTATTGCAAATTCCGCACAACTACACCATTGCTGACACGATCGCTCTTAATCAACGGTTGGTTAACTCCTACAAAATGCTAACCCAATTCGACAATCAGCTGATTAAGTTCTACCAACAGTATGTTGACTTCACCAAGCAATCGATTAAGTTCTACCAACAATTACTTGAGGATGACAAACAACTGACTAGTTTCTGTCAACAACTAACCCAATTCAATGACCAACTATCTGCACTCTACCAGCCACCCGGCAACTTTAACTTGTTTACCGCCATCAACCCCGGCAAATTCCTATTCAACTTTTCTATCATAACCCAATCTGTGGATTGGAATTGTAGGATGGATCACGGTGTTTGTATCCCAGGCCAATGCTCATGGCCATTCTCTAACCTAATAGCCGTACAAAACACACCCCCACTCAAACATATCCATCAATCAACCTCTAGCCGCCATGCCCGTAGGAGGGAAAAGGTCCCTCTTAGATCAGCAGTACTCATCCAAAGACAAAGAAAGGTGCCGGACTCTCTGCTCTTTATTCAGGAAATGGACTTCTTGGGTACCACGGTTGGCAGTTAAGAAGATGTAATGTCTCGGACACTTCCCTTTGAATTCCTCAGTTAGAGACTCACCGCTTCCCTCAGATATCTAACGCTCGCTTATCTAGTTGAGATCTAGATGAATCCCATCGAAAGATCTCTAGAACTTCCGTATCGCAATAACTAATCTCTATGTCGTTGAGATCTAGATGAATCTCTTTGGAAGACCTCTAGAATCTCGATATCGCTCTCTTCTTATCTACATCTTAATATACATCTTAACATACATCTTAATCTTAATCTAGGTAGCAAAACTTACTACTCTTTATAGTTCTAATGCTGATCTAATACTTGTGGATTTACTACTAACTAATTGCTTATCTCGGATCTCCCAGGATTGGGATTGAAACATCACGTAGCTTAGATGATGTCGAACAATAAAGATTAATCTCTTAACTCTTTACGATTCCTCGCTCCTTGTCCGCTAATTAAATAGTATTGGGAATTCTCATGCACAACACTAATCCAATCAGGCTATGCCTTTATAGAATACTACTGGCCGACAAAGGTATGTTTATTCATGGAAAGATATTTAGTTCGCTCACTATCTTAATTTTAAACTCCGTAATGGCCGTTTTATCAATAAGGAGATAGGCACCGCCCGGTTTTAATCTTCGTGCCACCCCTAGCCAATGAACTGATCAACTTAATAGCATGCCTTTATAGTTGACGATCTGCTTTGGCATTTTATCTTCCAGAACTAAATCGGCCTAACCCAATGTCTGTGTTAGACTTAAACTTAAACCAAAAACGCATGGGACCAAACTAGCCCAATTAAGTTACACCAGTACTATACCAGTAACCAATACAACCGCCGTGGCGCTCTTCTATGCAAGGACCAATCCGATGCGGCATTTGCAAGCCTAGTGATTTAACCAAAGAAAAATCAGCCCCTTATGGTCAGAGATGTCAAGAGGTCAACAATAAAAACTATCGTCCTAGTCTGGATCAGAATAATATCGATAGTGATAGGGAAACAAAATGTACTCGATCACACACAGCCTTCCAAGGGCCAGACCACCCTCGTTATCTCCAATATAGAGGGAGGACTCGGGGATGTTAGCTGGGCGGCCAACATCGGGAAGGAGCTGGAGAGTATTACAGGGATACAACCGACGTACTTGTTTGTAGGAAACATTAAACCGGAGGTCATCAGGCATTTGAACAAGAGAAGTGATCTAGGCGGAGAGCTGCGGATCATCCGCAAACCAACTGAAGTGGATCCGGGCTATGCCGGAGCGTACGTGTGTGAGGCTGAAAACGGGTCCATGTATACGGCCCTTGCTTTGTCGGACATCGAGTTCATTGGGGAAAAGTTCGACTGCACTGTCCTATTCCGCATGCAATGGAACTCAACTTATGGTATGGACAACCAGCCTACCCGTGTATGGAAGAGATTCATTCCAGTGGAAGAGTATGGGGATATAGCTACAGACGATATCCGCAAAGAAGTCCGGATCTTCTTCCAAGACTACACGAAGAAGTATCGGACATCTGTCTTAGAGGCAGACTGTGTGCGCCTGAATGTAAGCGTAGACGAGTTCTATAACAAACTAGGAGCTGATGCCAAAAAGCAATTCAATTTAGAGTATGTTAAACAGTTGGAAAAGAAGATAGGCATGGGAGTTCCGTACCACTTCGTTTACTACAACCTGTTTGTCAGGAGGGAGGACTTTGATGACCTGTGTTTGATGACCCAAATCGCTTTGGCACACATAATGAACCTACAAGGCCGGGAGAACCAGAGCCCGGACACTCCCATCACATTCCTAGTGAACCAAATCGACCTTTGCAAGAGAGCTGAGATCTACGAGAACAAACTCTGGGAGAGTAACCTCTGGATGGAGAAATGGAATGGCTTGCCAGAGTCGAAGAGAGACGAGGCAGATCGCCAGGAGAAAATTCAGATGCTTCTAAAGAAAGGTGATGTCACGATTGGAAGTGACGGGTTACAGCAAATTCGTCTCTTAAACACCAAAAGAACAGCCCGACTGGTGCCCTACGAAAACCTCTCGCCTGAAGCTTTCGAGTATTTCCTGCTGAAGAGCGAGCTAGTCGCGGGTTGTACAGGAGACATGTCTTTTACACAGGTCATATCGTCCAAACGAATTCCTGTGTACGAGTGTCTCACCCATAAGCAGAGATTCTACAATTATGCTCTGAACGCTCCTTGGATAGAGACGTTGGAAAAGATAGGCGTCCCGGTGGAAAAGGGTTTAGCGGTATTCCCTGGAATAGGGAGGGACAGATCCACTATCGTTTTGAGTGGAGCGACAACACTGACCGCGAAGAATGTAAGGCAGGTGTATCCTATCTTCCGCGCAAAGTTGCAACAGAACGCCTTCTCGCCATGGTTCAGGATGAGGGTGAAAGAAGCACTGAAGACAAAAGAGCCCAAACAAGGCCTGCCCGAGATGCACCCAGATAAGTAGGTGCTTGATCTATATTCTAGTCCAAACCGCTCGGCAATTTCAGTTGCATAACCCGTAGGCTTACTAGATAGGAAGTTTGTCATATAACAGTGAAGGGCAAATAGACCTCACAATCAAGAACACATGTTGTTTTACCTTCTTAGATTCAAATAGAGAATAAAAGCAATATCAAAGTTACAATTCCAAGTGAGTAGTTTTGAAATGAGAAGGGTTCTGTTTTAGTTTTAGAATATGGCATTGTGTTGAGTTAAGATAAGTTGAGTTGAGTTAGATAGGTTGGAAAAACAAAGGAAAAGTTAGACAGGTAAACAAAGAGATATACTTACTGTATTTCTATCAATAAACTCTATGGTTAAACCAACCCAATGAATTAGTAAATTGGGTTTGAGTTGGATATATTTAGATGGTTTAAACACCATTGAGTCATTGAGTCTTCATTCGTGGCCACGCCGGTATTTTAGAACCAATACCAATACTAAACCCAATGTCAATGCCAATCACAATCATCACTCTGTAGTAATCAATAAGCCAAACCCAAACTCAATCTCAACCACAACACAAACCCAAATACTAACCCAAACTATGATTTTATTAAACTATTGATATACTCCCAAATCCTGGATCTATCCTTTTTACGGCACAAGTCTTCTAAGTACTCAATATCTATCATATCCTCACCCGCAATAACTTTCTTATCACTACCCAGCCCAGTCCTATCTTTCTCTTTACTTTTAGCCGCTTTACTCCAAAGCTTCTCTATCTCGCCAAACTTACCCTGCAACTCCCGCGCCGACTTCTTCAATCCCTCAGTACTTCCCAACTCTACCTCCTGCACTTTCTGCTGACCCGTTTTCAACACCTGCCTACCTACCTTCAACAAGTTCTTCTCTATCTTACCCTTTACCATCAACTCATTCAAAAGGTACACCAACAACAAGTTTCCATAAGCATTACTATTCTCAGACTCCTGTAAAATAATCGCAATCACACTATCTATCTCATCTTTAAACAAATTAATATACTCAGACAAAACACCAAGAGAGTCATAAGTAGGCTTAAGTTCTCTAATCGCAGCAACTAGAAACTCACGACATAGTAACATCTAGAAAGTAAATTTAGATATTACTATATATGGCCTTTTTTTTAATATTTGGATATGGGTTCTGTCCTCTCTCGTTGTCTTAATCGTAAGAAACGCAGTGTTATCATCATTGGAGCGGCCGATAGTGGTAAAACCCAACTTATTCAAAACATGAAGAAAGATAAGTATATGACTGAGAAGACAACTAGTATTTATGAGCAGCACCTAATTAGGGCCAAGGGCTATGCTTTGGATCTTTTTGACTTATCTGGAGATCCAAAACATTCGCAGTTTTGGAAGTTTTATACTGAAAGTAGTCATTTAGTTGTGTTTGTGGTAGATGTGTCTTCAAAAGAGAAGATTGTGCAATCTAAGGAAGTATTTGAGTCATTTTATACCTCTTACTGTATGCAGAAAGAGAACTTAATCTTTATCTTAAACAAGATAGAGGAAGGACCTCAGGAGTCTCGAGATGAGATGATAAGCATGTTCCATGATCAATTCCAAGGAATCTTTGGGGTTAGTAAGCGCCTAACTCACAAGATGCTGGTGGTGAATGCAGCAGAGCCTCGTAAGGCCCTGACTTTCATCTGTAAGTCACTAAAGCAATAAATTGAGTTGTGTTGAGTTTAGGATTGATTGTGTTGTGTTAGTGTTGTTGGTTGTGATTTGGTTTAGATAAGGTTGTTGGTTGTGAATTGGTTTAGATAAGATTGTTAGTTAGTGTTGGAGTTGAATTGAATTAAGTTGGTGTTAAGTTGTAATCAAGCGATACTTGGGTTGTATTAGGATGGTGTACGGTGGGGTTGGTGTTTGAATTGGGTTGAGTATACCTGGCAGATATAAACTTATTTGTTTCCAGCAAATGGTTTTGGTTTGAAATTAGACTTACAGTTTATTAGGTTAGTCTTGGTGGGGGTTGGTATTGGGTTGGTATTGGGTTGCTTTAGGCTAGGATGAGGTGTTTATGGAGTTGGTGGGTGTTGTAGAGTGTTTAGTGGACGTGTTTGGTGAGTGTGGTAGGTGTGGGCCAGAATGAGAAGTCTTATCAATGCATTATTTTCATCATGTACTTGAGATCAGTATTGGTATGGTATAAATGTGATAGAGAATTTGGCTCTTATGAAGAACATTGCAACGTTTATGCACTTCAAAGGATGTATTGGATTTGTCTTAGGGTTTGGGCTGGTTGTAGCAACTACTTTAGTGCCGGTTGGTGATTATAGTGCTAGTATCAACACGACTTTTGCCAATCCAGTTGGATCTCTAGCTGGTTTCCCAGAGAATACTCTTAGATACCTTCAGGAGGAGTTGAATGATGCAACCGCCCCTGATTCGGATGATTACATTGATGATGGCGAAGAGATTGAGGAGGTAGATATCGAATTATCTTTACCTATAGATAATTCTTACGTATCTATTTCTGGCCATCCCCGTCTTAATGAAACCATAACTGATCTATCTAGTCTGAATATAGGAACAAACGAGGTTGAGAAACTAAAGGAAATGTACCGATATACTAATGGTAAAGGGACCCCTCGCCCCTTAAACAGGATGGTTAATAAACATCTTCTCTTATGGACCGGCCTTGCTCATGACAAAGTAAGGAGGCAGTTGGCATTGCTTGATGTTCTGCAGACTGACGATGGCCTGGTTCAGGCATCTAGTTCCACTCCAGACAAGCCATTATCTACCAGCGCACAGAATCTAGAACGACGTTGGTGGCAACAAATCCAGTCTATTACGCGCTTGCATGCATCAATAGATCGGTTCCTTCGGATTGATGTAAGCCGATTCCAAACCAACCCACTTGTTATAGATACGGCCGAATTAGACTATGTAGCTGGTCTTCTTTGCCTAGGGCGCTATCTGTTTCTAGTCGATCGCTGCCACACCCTTCACTTTAGCAAGTTATTCTACATCCAAATATTCCAGCCAATGAACCCCATCGGCTCTTCCTCGACTAGTTATAGCATTCCATTACGTAAGGTCCAGGGAGAAGATAGCGCGCACGCTTTCTTTACCAAGATTGCCTCTCTAACTAAGCAGTCTATGCAAACTTCAGGCAATGACAGCGCCAAGACCTTTAAAGTCATTCAAAAGTACCTCAACTCTCCAGACGGAACCATCCGACTATCCATCCTTGAGTCTACTCTCAACCAAGTCACCGACTATCTCAAAAAAGTAGTTCATCCCAACCTCAACTCATTACCAACCAGCAACCAGGAAAAGCACAACGCCATACTCCAAAACATTCAGCAAACAATCTCTACACTCCATGCCATTAAGAACCCAGCCAATATTGAAAACCTCCCCCTTCACTATACCAACAGTATTAGCCAAGCCCTAGTTCTTGATTCCCAAGCCAAGAACATCCAACACAACATCAACCAAATCCATAATGATATTAACACCTATATCCGCGACCAACTCGTTCCCATGTATCTTGATAAGCTCAATAGGACCTACAAGAAGTCCAAATATTCCCTTGCCCAAAAGCGGCGGCGGTACTATAAGGACGTCTTCCAATTCGCCCAGCAATACATGGACGCCCAAGCCAGATTCCAGTCTACCTTAGTCGTTCTTCAGCCATGCATGGCACCTCCCATCCATTAATAAACCTTGGCCCATTTCATTGTCTTACTTACTTTCTTGTTGCAATATCCACCTCATTCTACTTTACACCTTACACCATACCATACTAACTCAGCATCTTACACCATACTAACCCAACCATACCATACCATACTAACTCAACTCACCACCATATCAATGCAACCCAATTTATTATTCAGTCGTCTACTAATAAGTTCTCAGCCGCGCAGACCAAGAAGAACAACACTAGATGGGGTTCAATTTATTGATTAAAGACAATCTGCCGGCTGTAGGACCAAATCCAAGCAAAAACTAGCCGCGCGAACGCTATTTCCCCTGCCTCCTACAGTACGCGAGCCTACTACACATCTGCTGGAGTAACGCTGCAATGTTTGCCATCCTCGCGCAGTCTCTCCTAATTAGTCACCTCCCGATCTGTCCTACAACAGACCCCTTGGCAACAGAGGCACAGACTCACGAATTGCGCCTGATGATTGGAGTCAGGGAAGACCAGCCGTGTCACTCAATGCTGAAAGCAGACACACTAGTATCCGATTCCAAAAAATATATACTCAACATTAGATCAACGAAGTAAAGTTACGGTTTCAATCTAGAGAGGACCCAGCCAATTTTTATTTACGTCATGATAGATTGCCCATTAGGCCTATTCTTTACGTGGATCCATAAGATTGATCCAAGTCTTAAGTACAATCAGCTAGTCCTTCTTTCGGTTATAAAACTACTAGATGCCGAAGAACGTAAGTTCTTTTTCGCTGTAATTCTCCAGAACATTCATGTTGATCGCATTGAACGCGTTCCAAAACAACTACTGATCTTAGAGATAGTAACGGTCGAAGAAGGATACTATGTGCTAGATAGTGAAGTACGCCGCATATTTTTAGAGATGCACACGCGACGTACCAAAGATATAATGCTGGTACAAACTAGCCAGCTAAGCCGACCGGCCGAGAACGAGGTTTACAGTTTGGGTCTCTTCAAAACCATTTCGGTTAAGAACAGTACTTCCGGAACAATTAGGCGACTAATGGCCAAACAGAAAATGATGGAGAATGGCGAGATAACCCATAAAGGGTTTAACTTCCTTCTGGAAACCCGAAAGAACCAAATGTGGATGCTAATTCTAGCCCATTTACAGATAGAGGGTACCAAAGACGAAATCCTAGGCCTAGCGGAGATTTTAACTAAAGATGCCAAACGAGTCTACTTACTTGATAGATACGAGGAGAAGACAAAGATTTTGGACGTCTTTAAGTCATTAGGTCTGGCCTCAGTAGTTGATGGGAAGGTTCATTTTAGTCGGTCCTTCTCTCTTCTCTTTGATGAAAGCACCTGTCAGGAGCGGTTTCTGATTCTGGAAAGTAACTTTCGCATGTACATTTATGGCGAGAGTCAATTGAACATCTTTATTCTATCATTATTCACTATTCGTACTCGGGAGTTCCCCAACTTAATTGTCGCCACTATTACGGAAGAGAGTGTGAAACGGGCCTTTGAGCTGGGTATTACTGCCCAACAACTATGTCGGTATTTGCAGAGTAATAGCTTCTATGCGATTGACGTGAATGTTTTAGAGCAGATCCAACTTTGGGAACGGCGCCGGAAACGAATCTTCTGGTGGGAGTCTTATCTTTTCAATAACTTCTTGAACCACAAGGACTTCTTGTCCGTAGTCTCTTTCTGCAAGAGTAACCATATTGAGTACAATGCGTATAAAGAGCAGCGCATTCTAATAGTTGGCACTGAGAACTATGAAACAATTAAGGCCTTTATCAAGCAGCACATTAAATAGATCTTTAGATGGCAGGGCAAGGTACAAGTAATAATAATGAGAGGGGAACGATGGACTCGACTTAATTAAGACCGAATGTAGTGAAGGAGAGGGAGTGCCTAGACCTTGACTTGGCTGCCCTGTAAATTAGGTGGTACTTCATTCAGGCTGAAATGAAGAGGACGTGTGAAAAGAAGGACCTTTTAATCGAGGGATTATTTAGCTGGAAATTAGCAGCTGTCAATAGCACCTTCGGAATCAACTATCACCCGAAAAGGGAGACAGATGAGTTGTTTTAATCTAACCATAAAAAGAGAGTTATGAGTATTAGTAAACAGGAAAAGCCAGTCCCATGGATGACTTTCAGAAAAAGGCAAGTGCCAGGACATACGAGTTGAGTATCTACCAGAAGGATCAACTTGATGCGTACTTCTATCGGCACAACATCAAACTGACGAAAAAGAACCTCAAAAGTGTTTCTAAGGTGCTAAATATTCCCCACCGCCGGATTGTCGATTATGTTAACCAGCGACAGAAAGAGACGCATGAGAACGTGCATGAAGACTATCTTAAAATGTCCGAAGCGTTAGGAGAGATCAATATGCAAATCAAGGAAATATGGAAAAGATTCGAACGCGCATAGAATAAAGAAGTGTATGTGTATGTAGGTGGGTAGTTTATATTGGTTTGGGATGGATTGAGATGGATTGTTTCCTGTCGGAATGAGATAGGTTTTAATTTGGCCTATTTAGGGTACAGTGGCCGGGTTGAGTTGAGTTGGTACTATGATGGGTTTTGGGTTTTATTATAGTGGTATTAGGGCTAAATAGGGATAGATGAGGGTGATATTATGTAAGATATGGTTAGAATAGTTGGTAATTATAAGAGTTTATTAATGTTGGGTTGGTATTGGAATAATGACTCAACACTAATAATTGGCTGAAGGAGCCGAAAGACTCGCGAGTAGAGGTGTCTTGTTGGCCGTGCTTCTGATTAACATCCGCCAAGACAGAAAGCCGGAGTTGGGTTGGAGTAGGCCAGATCTCTTTGACACCGCATTAATGAGTGTGGTTAAACACGGGTCCGAAGATAAACATGACAGGTGGAGTTAGAATTGAGTGGGGTGGAGTTTCAGCAGCATCAACTGGCTGCGCCCAAAAAGCCACTATGGACAGCATGGCTAACCGCTCGGACGCTGCCACAAGCACAGCACCGCCAAAAGTGCTGAGGTGCCAGGTGGCACGCCAGTTAACTTCATTCCCTTTTTATACATATCTCAGAACCAAAGTTACTGTTTTTAATAAACCAGGTCGTATTCATATCAAATCCACTAAAACCAGCCACATATTTCCAACTCAAGGTAAAATTAAGACCAACCTGTTATCAATATTGAGTTGAGATAGTGTGAATATTGAGTTAGTATTGAGTTAAGATAGTGTTAAAACTGGACATTGTACTGCCCATGAGATGGATAACATCCCTGGACTAATGCATACTCTACTAAGACGTTCCTTGATCCGAGTGAAGCCTTTTATTAGTTGTCTATAGTCATGTGCGAGGTTGACATCAAATCTATTTGGATTAGGAGGAGGTTGAATTGAGTTGAGATAGGGGTGAGTTGGGATTATGGAAAGGCGTGGTAAGATAAAACAAGAGGAGGATGAACTGAAGTGAAGTGAAATAAGGACATAGATAAATTAGTAAAGAAGTAGTAGTTGGTGCTGCAAAATACTAACTCAGTGTATCTTTGGGTTTATTAAACTTGCTCATCTATAATAGGACGTGGCCGCGGCTGGAGAGAATCCGATAGCTTTG